AACTCCAGCACCGCCGATCTCAGACTGAAAGCCAAAAAGCCCGCGGCCGCCTTGGGTCTGTGACGCCGACGCCAGCGCCGACGTCGCGCCTCCGAGCGGGGCCCACCCTGCACGCCCTCCGCGTCCTGCTGCTTCTCGCCGCCTCCTCAGAGCCCCGGAGCCGACCCTCTCTCCGCCCCGCTGGCTGCCCCTCGTCTTTCTCTGCATCCCGGACTCGGAGGGCCGTACTCTGCGCGGGACCCGGGATCCCACTCGGCACAGCAGCCCCGTGGCTCCTGCCCTTTTTACTCCTAGGCCTAGAATTCGGTTAAGTAGGAGCGGGTTTGGGGAAGTCTGGAGAGAGACTGGATGGACGGGGGAGCGCTGGGACCGCTGAGTGTGGCTTGGGGCAGAGCTGCAGCAACGGACTCTTGCATAGAGAAAAATCTTGTTGAGTTAAAAGGAAAAAATACAAAAGAAAAACCAGAGAGGAAAAAAGAGAACAGGAGCTTATTATTGATATTTGGCATAAGCTGAAATCGGAGAGAGAACAACGGAGAAAAACAGTTTTAAAAATTAAAGTATTTTATACATTTAAAAATATGGAAAAATAACCTGGACAAATCTCGAGAGAATGGGGGGGTAATCAAGTTAAATGAATGGTTTTTTAATGAGCTCTGACAGCAAAACAGAAGGAAGAGGTATACTTATTTAAAGAATTAAGATGAAAAAAGTGCGCAGCTGGGAAGTTCACAGGTTTTGAAACTGACCTTTTTCTGCGAAGTTCACTTTAATACGAGAAATTTGATAAGAGAGGCGGGCCTCCTTTTACGTTGAATCAGATGCTTTGAGTTTAAACCCACCATGTATGGAAGAGCAAGAAGAGGGAAGACAGTATGAAGACAAAGGGGAAAAAATTGATGTTAATACAAAAAAAAAAAAAAAAAACCCGATGCCACAGACAATGATTCCTCTGAGAAATTATTATGGCAGAACTGTCCGGACTGCTGACAGTGAATTCTGGTTTGCATGTTACTTGTATTCCATTGATGGTGTCCCCCCTCCCCTTACTCACGTGCACTCAACTCCATTTTCATCTTCAATAGGAAAAGCATCCGGAAATTGATATACATCCGTATATATTTTCTGCCGGTCTTTGATCCTCAGGGGGTTAAAAGAAAAAAAAGTCAAAAGGGGAAAAATTTACACAGATTGTCCCAAGGAGATAGAGATGGGCAGAAAATGTGGGGAAAGTAAAAAGAAAACAGGAAGATCAAATGGAATAATGAAGGTACACCACTATGTATAGTGCGTGACACATAGTAGGTGTTTAGTCAAAGTTAGTTCACTCCACTCTCCTTTTCTTGTATTCCCTCTGGCTGGTTTCCTGAAGTCCTATTTGGGGGCAGTGCTTTATTTCTCCCCTCTCTATCCCTTAAAATTTACCTTAAATAACACCCAGCTAGATACAGGTACTAGGTTTGTGTAAAATATGTTGATACACACGAACAAAATTTATTTTGGCTATAATACGTGAACTGATGGTTGACTTTCAACACTTACATTTTATTCCACAAAGGTGTATCTATTCATGTAATCTTTTGTTGTTGTTGTTATTGTTTTAATGCGTGTATCTATTTAAACCAGGATGCCCTGGACTAAACAATCTGTATCCCAATTCTCTAGCAAGTTCTCCTTAGTTTCTTTTTTTTCCTTCTAATTTACAAGAAAGAGGAAAAGCTCTTTTAACTGAACTTTGGTATGCAGTTGAGCTTTGTAACTATTTGTTCTCCATGAAAACAAAATTATTTATATTTGCCATATTTTTTCTAGTGTATTAAGTTATTTTAAACAAAAGATGCTGTTATCTCATGACGTGTTGTCAGTACAAAATTTTCGGCTTCACCTCTGTTAAATCTTTTTAAATAAGTGCCAAGTTATTAATCGAAGACACTTTGCAATCAACTGAATGAAAATAGTATTGTTTCATTTGATGGGGTTCGAGTCATCTTTGTTCCAGTTACTATTAAAATATCCAGGATAGTGTCTCCTTCTTCCTTTTTGATGAATCAATCCCCAACCCCCATTTAGGAAAACTTCCTCTACTCCAACTTGCCACAGTCAAGGGGCTGGTGAGGAAGGTTGTTCTGGGGTGCTCTAGCACTGAGCACATCTTTTTCTTTTGTCATCGAATTATACACCCAGTGGAAACTGGATTATAACGAGTCAATAAAGGAGCAGATAATAAGTGAAGCGATCATAGAACAATGCCCTTCTTCAAGGCAGTTTTTCGTTCTTTATTTTGCTATACTTCCCCTTTCAAGTTTATTTGGGGACATTTTAGGAGGAAGAAAGGAGAAATCACTCGAAATCCATCTGCTCTTGGTGTGTGTCGCATAGTCAACAGCGGGTCCCAGGTCGCTGAGCCTCCCCGGAGCCGGGCAGATACTGCCTAGGGAGTGGGAGAAGAGACGCGGAGGGATTAGGGACACTGGAGGATGGATTCCCCACCTCTCCTGTTTAGTGCTTTGGCGGAAGCAGCTTCATTAGTTCAGTTTAGGAGAGGAAGCCAGGACAGTATGAGGAAAAGTCTAGTCTTTCTGTCCTTAAACTACAGAGAAGCTCCATTTCCCGTTTCGTAGGCCTTCGTCTCGTATGCGTGTGTGTGTGTGTGTGTGTGTGTGTGTGTGTGTCTGATCTTACTAAACCTTGAAGGTGCTGCCTTGCTGCCCCTTAGCGGGTAGGTAAAAGACATGAAGACCCAGCCCTGGCCAGGCCTGAGGTGGGACGTCCCGAACCGGCCTCTTGGGATCTGGGGAACCACTGTGAAGATTGGGGGTGTCCCGCGTGTCCCAGGCCAGCCATACTTTCCAGACCAAAGGGAACGTGGGGACCCCCTCTAGCAGTTCTCCCTGCCGTCGTCTGAGGGTTCGAAGCTCCCCTCAGCCTAGACGTGGGAGATTCTTTTCTCTCTTAGTTTCCAGAGACTTGGCAGAACTCGCTCGGTTCCCCTCTTCGGCGCTCAGGCCTTGCGGCGGTTTCCCGGTTGGCTAACGTCCGTCTTTCTATAACAAACGTCTCCCCGGGGTGTGCTGCGCCCTGAGGTGGCTGTGTCTCCCGCCTCGGCCCCGTGGCCACCGGTGAGCTCCCGTGTGCGCCGAGGCTCCGGTGTGAACCCGAGGACTCCAAGCCCCAACCCTAACCCCTGCTGGCTCGGGTTTCTTTGCACCCCCGAGGGAGGCCAGAGGTCACGGGAGAAGAACGCGCTAGGGGACGTGGCGTTTCCGTCCCGGGCCCACCCGGCGCCCCCGAAGTCCAGCTCAGGGGAAGCCTGAGGTCACCGGAGGCGGCGCGTCCAGGTCCAGCTGGCGGAGGCGCTCGCAGTCCCCGCGCCTGGCCTCCTGGAAGTGTGGGCTGCAGGAGCTGGGCTGGGCACGGAGTCCCGCGAGGGTACAGCTGGGCGCGAGTGCAGTGGGCAGAGGGCCGCGGGGACAGCCAGGTCCCCAGACTGGCCAGGCCCCGGACTCCGGAGAACCCCAAGTTTCGCTTACTGCTTTCTCTTCCCTAAGACTCTACCAGGGCAGAGGCCGCTTTCCCTAACCCTAGGTCCTGTTCTTCAGGACCTGTTCCCACACTCGCTCACCCAGAGCTGTCTTTCCCGGATCACCACGGCCCAACCTCTCCGGCAGGCCCCTGGGTGCCTCGGGTCCCAAACCCCTAGTTTCCTCAACGGTCCAGAGAAGGAGAATGAGGAAGTGTTCAATTTAAATAAGGCGGAACAGGCATAATGCTCTGGTCAAAATTCAATAATTAGTAAAAGTCTGGAGCTATAAAAGCTGTGCTTGGGGAAAACTGAGTTTAAAAAGATTGTTCAAGACATGATTCGCGTTAAGGACTCTTATTCAGAGTCCCAGTAAAATGGGAGGCCTTTGCTTGGAACTGAGTCCATATACATCTATTTTGAATCTCCCCCCAGATTTATAACTTTTTAGATCCTCAGATGGTAATACTTTAGTATAATGCAGTACTCAAATTCAGAACTATTTTGATTTCTGAAAAATGCCTTTTTGGCTTCAACAACATGGGATCCTGTTTTTTCTTCCCAAATCAGTTTACATCATAAATTGCAAACATTTGCAATAAGATCTCAAGATTATTTATTTTTACATAACCTCAAGCTCTTGACTATGTTAAACACCAGTACAGAAAGTCTGTGAAATCAGTTTAATGTGTGTCAGGGAATTAAAGGATCACTCCTTTTCATCACATAAACAAAGCATTTAACATTGTTTTGTTTGTCAATCTTCCAATTTTTAAAGTCTTAAAATTGACTATTAATTTTAGAGTCATTCTGTGCAAAAATAATTACTAAAGTTATATCCTGCTCTAATTAAATGTTTCTGGGCAGAAGAAAGTGGTATTCTACCTTGGGAAGTGGGTGATTGTTTTCAACATATTATTTTAGCTCAAACATAAATAAAAGCTTGCAAATTCCAATGGGGAAAAAAGGTTTGAAATGGGTTCTTAATGTGCCATTAGAACAGTTAGTAAGAAAGCATTAAAGCAACATCACAAACCCAGAAATAATAAATATGTCATTCTGACAAGAATGTTAGCTTAGGGATAATTTATTCAAGGTAGTTTTTACATTTTGCACACAATGTCTTATTATGACCTGGCTAACTACTGTGATGCTTTTTCTTCCAAATATAATTTATATAGGCTTGGGATATACATACTTCATAACTCCTGTGGATATATGTATATACACCCCAAATTTTAAATCTTTCCAGTATGTTTAGATGTTTACTGGCATGTTTTCAAGATAACTAAAATAAAATGTTTAAACGTTTTAAACACTATAATGAAAGTAAGTGGTTGCCCTATGCTTGAAGAAAAAGTAGTTGAAAATGAAAAGTTTAAAAAGGATTAGATAATTTTCAAGCTCAGGTGAAGAGTGAACATTAAAATACTTCAAACCAGGAAATGTTCTTGTATAAGAAATATGAAAATCCCCAAGAAAGACTTACAGATGTGAATATATAATACTTCTGATGTCTAGGCAATCCTTTCATGTCTGTAATTCATGAAACAAAACAAAAATCCTCAAGTCTTGGAGTATTTTGTTTTGGGTATTTTATGCATCAGTCAAGGTAACCATTGCATATGCCTTCAGTACTGGAAAATTTAGTACAGTACTTACATGGAGTTCTATCTAAGGTTTTAGAATGCAATCAAATAAATCACATAGGGAGGAATAAGCAAGCACACTTCTTTTTTCCTCACATACCCTGAGCAAGGATCTTTGAAGATTCTTATTCAAGCAAAATAGTTTATGGTTAAGAGCATACATTCTGGAACCATACTTCCTGGATTCAAACTTCACTGTGAATAGCC